ATGGATTACTGTACTTTTCTGTTAAACTGCACCTCTTTACTAGAGGCTGGCTTTTTGAGCAGTCGATTGTAAAGCTTTTCTGCTCATCGTGTCACTTAAGTTGTAGGTCGCGTGTGACACTTTTCACATGACATCCTGTGTCGCGAGACACAATCTTTATGGCGCATTGGCCTGCTGTGCCGTTTTAATGAGGATCCTGTACAGAAACTCAGAGACATACTGACACACAGAGGAAGATGTTGGAATTGTTTGAAAATTGAAAATTGTTTGAATTTGTGGAAGAAACTTTGCAAAAAAAAAACACTCGACAAAGTCTTGGCTTCTGGTTTTGACTTCTTCTTCCTTATCAGCGTGTATGACGCGTTATTGTCTGAGTGGCAACACTTATTGCGTAGGAGAATACTGCAGTGGCTTTTTGCACCTTAACAAGTATAAATGACTGTATCTGTGTGATGACATCACTGAGGCGGGTTTATTGGCACCTTAACTTCTCTCTGCCTGTAGGGGCGGGTGGCACCCAGAGGCTGACACGTGCAGTGGGCAAATCCCTCGCGATGGAAATGGTACTAACAGGGGACAGGATTGGTGCTCAAGAGGCAAAGCAATCAGGTAATGACAAAGAGCACTGCAAAGGTGCTTAAGGTTCTACAAGTTTGCTTTATAGAAACAACCATTTCTTAAAAAAGATTATTTCTAGATTGTGATTCTGGTACTTTTACATACAGGAAGGTACTGAATAGTTCTGCATCTGGATAACAGCAAAGCTAAACTGCACAGTCTGCTTTTAAACAAAATGTGACATGAATAGTGTGTCAAATAAACTGACTTATTATATTTATTGTTCTCAACTGTGTATCTTTGCGTTCCTTAGGTTTGGTGAGTAAAGTTTATCCCGTGGACCAGCTGGTGTCTGAAGCCGTAAAATGTGGAGAGAAGATTGCTGCCAACTCCAAACTCGTGTCTGCTATGGCTAAAGAGGCTGTTAACGGAGGTATGCACATTTTAAAAGGCTAAATATTCTAAAACCGACTGAGCTGAATATGTTGGATGTTTTATCTGACTCATCCTCTGTGTGACGGCAGCTTTTGAACTGACTCTGGCTGAGGGGAATCGCTTGGAAAAGCGCTTATTCCATGCTACATTTGCAACGGTGAGTAGAAGAACTAATATGGGATTAAGTGAAAACAGTGGAGTAAGATTTTAATAATCAATCCATGATCTACTGTTGTTTTGTTTTTTGTTTTTTTCCCTTCCCTACAGGATGACCGTAAAGAAGGCATGACTGCCTTTGTGGAGAAGAGAAAGGCCAGTTTCCAGGACAATTAGAAAAGGAGCAGATGAAGATCACAGTCAAGAACACAAAGTTTCTGATATCAGTGGCTCACTTCCTTGTGTGTAATATGCTGAGTGATGCAAAAATCCAGGATTATTGGAATTTGCCAGCTGCTGGGACTAGGATTTGCCACCATGTGAGTGCACAAGAGTGTCTTTCTCACTGAAGCCCCATCTGACGAGGATCAGCATCAAAATCAAATGGAGTCTGGGTGTAAGGGGGTTGAATATGATTTAATATCTGTGATTATAGTCAGTGTGTAGCAGGTGGTGTAGGGCATGTGACATGTACTGACTTTGCCTTTTCATTTGTCAAACATTTGTATTTTGTAGGCAAGTTATTCTGTACATTTTACAAATAAACCCTGGGAGTGACTCTTAAGGCAAGAAGACATGGGAAGACTTTATTGATTATTCACTCGTAAACATATTAGTTTATTCCATAAAACATTTTTCATATTTTACATATCATATTTTTCCAATTTCATAAACATTGTGTTTGCTTATTGGCAAGCAGGGGCTGATTTGTAACATGCTAACAAAGCACATGCTTACCAGCTACTTTGTTAGGTACGCAGGTTCGACTGCTCATTAATACAAAATATCTCATCAACCAGTCACGTGGCAGCAACCCAGTGCCTTCAGGCAAGAGAGGACCTGCTGAAGCTCAAACTGAGCACCGCACCTATATTGGAAACTTTGCATTTCTCAGAGATGGATTTTTTTCTTTTCTTTTTTTCTTTATAGGAGGTCACAGGAACTAAGCAGCAGTTTTTGTTTATGTTACAAATTTGAGCGTTCATATCAAACCTTGAAGAAGATTGGCCGCAGTAGCAGGACACCACTCTCCATTTCCATCCCTTTTAGGACCACAGTATACTGGTCTTCTGATGGCTGCTTCCAGTAGGATAACACTCAGATCCTCTCAAACTGGTTTCTTGAAAATAACCTTGAATTTACTGTAGTCAAATCACTTCCATAGGCACCAGATCTCAATCCACTACAGCACCATTGGGATGTGGTGGAACAGGAAAGTCACATCATGGGAATGTGGCCTTCAGGCCGCTAGGTGGCCCTCTTGCGCTGTAAACAAGTGCAGGAAAACGCGACATGGCCAGTAAGTCCTCTGGTCGGCCCACAGGACAGAGAGACACACCGAGCTGGACAAGTAAGGTCAAATTCAAGCTATGAAGTCACTAAAATACAACTCTGGGTTTTATATATTCGATAAGATCAATCTGAAGGAAAATTTAACACTATATCTTTGCTCAAAATAAATGGTGCCGTTTGCATCGGGCTTGGGATAAAGTGTCAGCTGTCTTTTTTTCTTCTTAAATTACTAGCTCTGTGCCATACTCCCAAATTTTTTGATGACTGATACCAAGTAGATACCCGACCAGTATTTCTGATGCGTGGTGATATGTTTAACCTATAAAGGGAGCTTATAAAGGAAAAGGAGTGTGTCGTGGTTTATGAGATGAATCATCACCAGTGTGCCAAATTTTGGACACATTTTAATAACCACTAAACTGTGATTTTAACTTTCCACAACAATAACCCAACAAAACACACCTTTCATTTTATAACTTTTTTTTTTAAATCATCCAAATGTTATGGGGTTTTTATTGAACTTTAAATGTGCTACAGGTTATAAATAAAACAGATGGGAGAGTCAACACAATAAAGTTCAGACATTTTTTCATAGAGCATGTGTTTTCTTCATTTCCATCAAAGGAAATATAAATTTAACACACTTATATACAGAACTTAGATGATAAGGAAAAAATGTATCGATCATATACAGTATGAGTCCAATACTAGCGTTGGTATCGATATTATTGATATTTGGATGCTCTTGCCACCTCTGTAAATTACTGATAAGTAATTTAAATTAAAAAAAAAAAACAACTATAAAAAAACTATAGATAGGTTAAGAGTTAAGTTAAGAGTTCCCCATCACATATTGAGTGAGGATCTTCGGGGCCACATAAACCCACAATTTTCACTTCAAAGAAAACACCAGAACAAATTTGGTTAGTGCGCACTTTCTTTTGCCGCTCCAGTCATCAGGAGGCACCTTCTTTCTCTCTGATCTTCACACGGCGGTGCCCCATATCTCCACAAGTCCGTGTCCTAATTGATTTTTTTTATTCAATATTCCCCCGGAGCTTGCTTTCTTGTCAGCCCCTTGAAACAAACCTTTAAAAAGGAGAGGGGGGTGAAAAAAAAAACTGGTCTCTTCTCTCCGCAGGGAAGCACAAAAGTCCGCAGAGAGGGCCCGAAAAGAAACCTCTCTTTGAGGCTACCGAAAGGTCAAAATAATAAATGTAGACTCAATTGAGGCTCTTCGCAGACAAAGGAAGCAAAACGTTACATTTTGGCAGCGTGGACCCTCGTAGCGTGATAAACTCATTTAAAGGAGCCGAAATAAAGAGAGAGCAGCGTGGGTCCGGGGAGGGTGAAGGGGCTCTCAAGTCTGGCAGACAGGCCTGACTCCCGCAAAGGGCCTTTTCTCCTGCTCAGCAGCCCCCCAAAAACTCTTATCTTCCTAAACAGCAGTGCAGCAGTGCCAGTCATGCCCGGATATCTCAGCTTTTATGTCCGCGTTATAATCCGTTTGCATGCATTAAAATTCAGGCAGCTGCATTTAGTAAGCAAAGCAATATTTTCTCATGAGAAGTTATATACAAACTTAAAAAGTAAGGTTATAGCAAGTTAACGAAAGCAAAACATAAGGATTTGTATAGCCATTTACTCGGATATAAGATAAATGCAGATCGTGGATATTTGTTTGCAAATTAAATGCGAGCAATAAAGCGCCAGTGTTTCTTCGGTGCATTATTACCAGCATCTGTAAATTCAGTGTAAAAGCCCACAAGCCTGCAACTGTGACTTTACTTTTTAAAAAGCCTTTTTATATGCAGATCAGCACCGGGCTGGCTCTGCGGTCATGGAAAGGATTCCTCAGCATTTTTTCTTGTCATCCAGCTGAGAGCATTTCTGGCCCAGATGAAACAAGCCGGGTGGAGTGTGGTTTTCATCGTACAAATATTTTCATTATCTCACATTCTTGGCGTCACAGATCGGGTCGGAATAACACGTTCACCGGTGTCTGCTTTGAATTATGCCCACCCAAGGGTGTCAGAAACAACACGGACCTAAGATTAATTACACCAGACTACAGGCGAACAACGCGACCCTGCTTTATAGATTCACATAAGCACAGTGTGGTTAGAAAACTTTTACTAACTGAAGCAAAAAGAAAACACAAACTATTTATAAGCTTATTTAGTACTCGTTTAGGCCACATTAGTATTTTATGCTATTATTTATTTATTTCAAAAACTGGGCTTTCGGATTTTTGAGACTGTATATAAAGTTTAAGAAAAGTGAGCTAACCAATCAGATTCATCAGTTTTAGCACGTGATGCGTTTACGTTCATCTGAGGAAGACTGTCAAGATAGTTATTGCTAAAGCTACTAAACCCTTTATCCGACAAACCAACAACGAAAAATAATAAGAGTTTGAAATCTTAGCTTGACGACTGAATCTTCCGCCATAACAGTTAACATTTAAAACTTAAAAGTTTTTTTTCTTCCTAAATTGGTAATTTTATGTTTCTAGCATGTCACAAACGAAGACGGAAGTTGGCTAGAGGTACTACTCTCGCGTCGCTTGAGCCGTCCCCGATTCTCCGTGTTTTGAGGCTGCAGGAATGGTCGTGCTAAGAGGAATCCCCTCTGTTTTATCACCTGAACTTCTGTATGCTCTCGCTAAAATGGGCCACGGGGATGAACTGGGTATGATTACACGCATACAGAGCTGCTAACAGCAGTGACCTGTATACCCTCTGCTTGTAGGCATGCTGCACACTGCTGTGCTAATCTGAGTTTATGTCAACACCACGTAAAAAGGATCATTAACCTGTAGCTACACGGCACAGTTACAGAGATTTTACTCACTCTTCATGAAGTCACTCACTCGTTTAATTATTTTCAGTGCTTGCTGATGCCAATTTCCCAGCATCTTCTATTTGTGCATGTGGCCCAAAGGAGATAAGGGCTGACGGTATGTAAATACACCTGCCTATTAAAGAAAATGTGTGTGTGTGTCCTTCAAGTTTATCGTTCAGACTGTGTCTAACCTTTATGCAGGGTTGGGGATCCCACGGCTTATGGAGGCTGTTTTGAAGCTTTTGCCCCTGGACACCTATGTCCCCTCTCCGGTACTGAGCTAAAGCATCTGCATAGACCTTCTGTCGTTTTTGTGCCTGACTGTTTAATATTTAGTTCATATCATGTAAAATCTGTGCTGCATGCTTTCACAGGCTGCAGTTATGGATCTAGTAGATAGTGACAAGCAGAGAGGTTTAGCTGTGCCTGTGTGGGACACCTACAAACAGCTCTTGAGCCAGGCAGGCTCTCAGGTAAGACAACCTGTTCACCCTGTTATTAAGTGAAACAAAATGAGTGTCTGTTCATTTGATTTGTGACTCTCTGTGTGCTGATTTCTGTTTATATACAGGTTTCTCTTGAAAAGGTGGAAAGGTTTGCTTTCTATGAAAGAGCCAAGAAGGCCTATGCTGTTGTGGCAACAGGGTTGGTGTATTTTCTCTGCCTTCATTTGAGTCTAAGAACAGTTAGATTGAGTTGCATTGCTAAAAGTGCACTTCTGTGTTTAAAAATCAAGTGTAGAAATGGTTCCGTTTGTAAAAAAGAAAGAAAAAGATGTTCCATGCTAGAAATCATTCTCATGATTTATCTGTCAGTTGTTGTTGTTTTTCTTTTTGTTTTTTTCATAAATTAGCAAACCTACAGCATCATGAATCAAGAAGTGTCTCATCTCGATAATCAGACTGTTGCACTGATTTTAATCGCTTCATTGTCATGAACAAATCTGGATATCATTGCACAGGCCTGGAGCTAGTTTAATTATGGAGATTATGGTCTGCACGCTAACGTTTAAAATCAACACAAAAGGCTTTTTTTCTTTTTCTTTCTTTCTTTTTTTTACATTGTGCCTTTATGATTTTCCTCAGGGAGACAGCTCTGTATGGTAACCTGATACTGAAGAAGGGGGTCATTCCTGCTGAGCAGCTACAGTGACACACACACACATTTTGAACACATGTGATGATTTCAGTTTTTATTTTTCTGTTGTTCTGTGGTATTAGGCACTAATTGAATTCTTTACCGTCAAAATCATCATATTTTGTGAATTCAGATGCATTTATTTCGAATCTGTAATCACTGCTGTAAATACAATCTATATTTTTTATAACTGATTTCTGCATTATATGTTTATATCAATAAATAAATGAAACACAGTCTCTGATGGGAGTGTTTACAGTATCTTTATCATCAAGATGCATATGAGCAACACAGATTTAGGTGTTCTTGCTTAGTGAAGCTTTAAGGCAGTGTAATTGAATCAAATGAAGCTCTTGATTTTTATTTATTTTTGTTTTTTTACTCAGTTGCAGCTACATGAACTTAAATGATAAAGAGCTGAGTTGTTGGAAGATCAGCGATGGTAGATCATATCCAAATCTTCCTCTGGCTCAGTGTGCTTCTGAGGTGGAAAATTGAGAGGATAGGCAGCTCTGATGTTGTCCTGGTGAAAGACCGGCCTGACTGGTTCTTTGTGGTACACAGCATCCATGTCCTCCTCAGGCTCAAGGTGAACCCTGGCTTGAATTTTAACCGCCATCTGAGGTATCAGCGGCTCAGCCTGGACAACAGGGGGGACATCCAAGTTTTGGTTTCGACGTCGGAGGAGATTACCCGTTGAGGGATGGTACAGCTCATCCAGGTCTTCCTCAGCCTTCAGATATTTTTTCTCCTGTCCACTGCCTCTCATACTCTTCCAGATCTTCATGTTGGGGTCAATATCATAGTGGGTCCTATCCATATCCTCAGGAGGCTCAACTGCCACTGCCCAGGCTGGCCTACCTCTCTCATCTATAGACCTGAAATGAGTATCACACACCATTTGTTTTTATCAGCCTAAGCAAACGTGAGAACCTTTATTTTAGTTTAAGAAACTTCAACTCACATGACAGCTTTCTGGAAGACTTCATCTGAAAGTTTATTCTGAGAGAAGAGCACAAATAATACAGGATTACAATTCAAATAAATACTATTAACCATAAAAATATGTTTAAAAGTAACAGTAAGTCTGATTTATTTCAATGTAATATAAGACTAGAAGTAATATATACATACCCAAGGCTTTGCTGTGATGCCAAGTATCAGCGAAACATAGACGATTAGAGAAATCCTACCAGGGGAACCAATTTAGGTTAATTGCTAGAGTTCAACTTCATACTTCATAAACACAGATCCCTGTCAACTTACAAAAACAACTCATCTAATCTATAAGCATTAAAAACCAGCTGAATCTTTGAAGAGATTTCTCACCTGAACATGGTGCGTCTTCGTGCTGGCAGCTCAGCGTTTGGAACAAGATTACCTTTTGATCACCTGCTACTGAAACAAAGGACCAAAGATCTATCTATAAACCTGCTGTCCCGACCTTTGTATCCTCCAAGTGCCAGCTGTAAGTAACTTATCATTTCTAATCTCGCCTGTGTTTTGTGTTGGTGCCAATAAAATTCCTCTTTCTGTCAAAGTGTCAAAGTACACTCCATGTAACTGAGCAGAACATGTCAAATATAAAGTGTTTTTCTTATTTATATCATCCTGTATTTTTCTGTGTTTTAATTTATCACAGTTATGCAAACACAGCTAAAATATGTAATAAATATACTATATTGTAATTACATTTGATGCAATTATCTCCCTTATCAAGGCTGTAAAGTTCCTTGTCTTTATTACTGAGAGTAAGAGATAAACTTTATTATCATGCAGCAGTAGTTTCTCCAAGCTCTATACGACGACGGTATCTAACCTCAGTAACTATTGTATACATGACTGTATATATGTCAGCTAGTTAGCAGCAAGCACCAGTGGATTATCCTTTCTTTCTGTACTTGGTTACATTTGCAGCATTGTATTAAACTGCAGTTTTCTATCTGAACATCATTCGCTGGTGATGAGTTCGGAGATCATCTGCTGTCATTGTGTGCAGAAAGATGGTAACAAATCACACACATATTCATCTATAAAATCATTCTCCGTGAAGTGCAAGCACATTTTACCACTGGTAGTTTTAACTCAATACACTCACACAGTTGCACACTGCATTTTCCACAGAGTTTGGTTTTCCTGCTCTCTGTTTTAATAATCTTTTTATTACATATTTTCATCGTTTCTCTCTCATTGGGTTTAATGCCCTGCTGTGTATCACAACTGTGTAACATCAGGAATTGTTCACTGAAATATCTCAACTATTCTGAGAACTGTCATGAAGTGCTGTGAAGATATTTATGATCCTCTGCTGATGAAGCCTAATGACTAGCACCACCACCAGGTTGACATTTGTAGTTTTGATTGAAATGTCTCCACAGTGGCATGCACTGCCATAAAATCTGATAATCTTTGCAATGTAATGATGTTATCCCTTTCCTGACATTTGCTGTAAGGAGATCAGGTTCTATTTGAGTTTGTCCAATATTTTGGTTTATTCCTGTAAAACAATGACATCCACCTCATGTACAGCCCTGTTTTGTGTTCATCTCATATATTACATTGGTAAGTATGCAGTAATTAAGGTACAATGAGACTCTTGAGTATTCTGCATGTCTTTCAAATAATTATTCTAACACACATATAGACCTGATTTACTTGTCTGTCCTTTTTTGTGTTCAACTTACAGGCATGAGAGTCAAACTGCAATGAGTTGATTATCTGGTCTGATATCACGCCAATAATGCATCTATAAATGTGCAGATAAATTATTGTATTTTCATTCATCGGTTGAACTTAATTCGCTCAGATTTGTTCTCATATTGAAAACATTCTGCGTGCTATAAACATTCCCCCTCTATTAGGGATGATGAATTTAAGATCTCAGCTACGTCACTTAGGCTGACTGTAAATAAGAAGGACAGGCAACCTAATCCTAAGATTAGTTTGTAAGCTCAAAAAACACAACACAGTGGCTTGAGCTCAGCTTCCATCTTTTGAGAAAAATCTTATGATAAGAGACCTCATCTTTCTTTTTCCTTAGAATTCCTCCATTGTTATCTGCCTGGGTGCAAAACATCCGTAGATGATGTGCAGCTGCTAAGATCATGCATGAATTTTGAATAAACTGAGGGGACGTGTTTTCTGCATCCCCTAAAAATCTACACTTACTTACTTATAGGCTATAAGATACAATAATACACAATAGACTTTTTGAATACGTGTACATCACTGCAGGACCTACTTTATACTGGTCCTACTTTAAATCCTGAGTGTGGATTTTACATTACACATATGTAAAATCAAGTTTGACATATGTATAATGTTACAGTGCCACAAAGCAAAAAAAAAAAAAAAATGCACACACTTCCCATACCAGCTTACTTTCATGAGAACTTACCCAGATTCAGACGGAGTCCTATTGTGTACAGCTTTAATCATTTAAACAGACTAATCACCCTTCACATGCACATTCATGTGGACAGATTGGAGGCAGATGATAGGTCTGTGATCTTAGTGCCAGGCACCACAGACACTGAATCATCTACGAGTTTGTCAGCTCTTCATGCCAACATCGTATCATACTGCAAAACTGCGTCTGAATAAAAACATTCATTCATTCATGTTTGATGCACAGACTGAGTTGTTTACACTACAACTCAATTCTGAATTGCTGCTTTCTGATATGCAAACTCTGGGATTTATGTTAAACATCTGTAAGTTGAAGCACACAACCATAATTTTCCTCAATCAGCTTACCCCTGAGGAATATAAGTTAATTTCAGCTCAGTGTTTTAGCATTTCTGGCAGTGCCTCCGTCAAACTGCTGTCGTGTCTCTTCGCTAAATGTCTTTCACTGTTCATCATGGCAGCAGGGGATCCATTAAGTTAACCCAAGGTAATATTTTCTCATGCCAACAGGATTCAGCGTAATGTACAGGAGCTGTAAGATACAACACAAACTTCCTGTTCGGTTTAGGGGACGGCTCCAGCATGTCGGCAGTCTCGATCAGATTCATGTGTCCAATATTACGAGACAGTCTGGCTTGACTAGCCCCCGCTGAGTGGTCTGCTTCTTTACTAAAACACGCCTCAAGCAAGCAAATACCAGACATCTTTGAAGGTACTTATTGTAAATCTGTCTTTAAAAATAGTTTAAAACCTCCTAAAATAAACTAAACAGGAAGAAATGACTGCTCTAACCTTATGCCGAAAAACATTATGCTGTTGTGTTAAAGAGAAATCAACTGAAGTGAAGGTAAGTCATTAAGAAGGCACTCTTTTCCTACTGTTGTCTTTTGACAAAAAACAAAGCCACATTATGTTTGCACCAACAAGTTGATTTCCAAAGAGATATTAACCAAAATCTGGCATAGCACAGCATGATGGAAAAGGTGTTCTGAAAAATTAAGGAAACTTATCAAGTAGAGGACAAAAGGAGACGTGGCAGGCCTACAAAAAAATGTCTACGGCAGATAAAAACATGGTGCAGGCTCTGTCATGTTTTGGGGCTGCATCTCAGCCAGTGGTGTTGGGGATGTTTCCAAAATTGATTGAATTATGAACACAGAAAAGGGCCATCAGATTTTGATCTACCATGCAATATCATCTGGAAAGTATCTGATTGGCAACCGCTTTGTTTTTAAGCATAACAATGATCCCAAACAAACTGCCAATGCAGTAAAAGTATACCTGAATAGAAAAGCGCACAGTGGAACACACAGTCATGGATTGGCCTCCCCAGAGCCAGGACATTAACATTTGAATGTTCTTCACCAAGCCTGAAGAACCATCCATGTTAACAAACGGCCAAAAGGCCAAAAGACCTCTCGTAGAACGTTCAGGCTGTTTTTAGGAATAAATGTGGTGGTACCAAATATTCACTTTCAAGCTGGTTAGATTTGTAAAGAACCCTCCTTAGTATGACATTATGGCATACCAGCTTTAGTGTCTACATATGCATGTTAGAGTAAATTGCATTTTTCATGTTCCAAGCTAAACAAAAATAAATAATGATGACAGATCTTTGGACAGTACAGCAGATAAAGATATTTTCTCATATTTGGATAGTAAATGTGAAGCTACAAGGAGATGGTCTAACTTAGCATGAAGACTAAAGAGAGAGTAAAACCACCTACTTGGTTCTTCCTTGTTAATACACAAACTGTTTTACTTAGAACAACTTTAAGTATGCATGCTGTGATAACCTAGCTGTACTCATCTGGACCATGGTGCTAATAAGAATTTACTATTCCTTTAGATAAGATCTGGTCTTTGCAAAGATAAACATGAAAGTGATTGTGATTTCCAGTATATATCAACCATTTGTAAATAGCGGACATTACTCATGTATAGTTTTGGGCTTTTATATGTATCTATGTATGTATGTATGTATGTATGTATCTATCTATCTATCTATATATATATATATATATATATA